ATTACACCCCACTTATCCATGGAAACCCTGAAAACCAGAAGGTCCCAGAAAGATATTCTACAAACACTAAGAGACCATGAATGCCAGCCCAGATTACTATACCCAGCAAAACTCTCAATCACTATAGATGGAGAAAACAAAGTATCCCATGACAATCCCAGATTTAAACAATACATATCCACAAATCCAGCCCTACAGAAAGTTCTAGAGGGAAAACTCCAACCCAAGGAAGTAAACTACACTCAGAAAAACATAGGCAATAGATAACCTCACTTTACCAAAAGCCAAACTAGGGGGAAAACTCACACACAATAAAACTACCAAAAACAAATCCAAAACAAACAAGAATCAACAATCAATGGTCATTAATATCCCTCAATATACATGGAATATACATGGTCTTAACTCACCTATAAAAAGAAACAGGCTAACAGAATGGATACAAAGACAGAATCCAACCTTCTGCTGCATACAAGAAACACACCTGACCTTCAAAGACAGGCGTTACCTCAGAGTCAAGGGTTGGAAAAAGATTTTCCAATCAAATGTAGCTGGTGTAGCTATCCTAATATCTAACAAATTAGACTTCAAACTAAAATTAATCAAAAGAGATAAAGAAGGTCATTTCATATCAATCACAGGAAAAATCCATCAAGATGAAGTCTCAACCCTGAACATCTATGCACCAAATACAAACTTACCCAGAAGTAGACACCAGGAAATAATCAAACTGAGAGCTGAAATAAATAAAGTAGAAAGAGAGAAAACAATATAAAGAATAAATGAAACAAAGAGTTGGTTCTTTGAGAAAATCAATGGGATAGACAAACCTTCATGCAAAACACCCAAAAGGCAGAGAGAGAGCATTCCAATTAAAAAAGTCAGAAATAAAAAGGGAGAAATAACAATGGACACTGAGGAAATCCAGAAAATCATCAGGTCATATTTTGAAAACCTATGCTCCCCAAAATTCAAAAATTTAAAAGAAATGGACAATTTTCTGGATAGATATCACTTACCAAAATTAAATCAAGAACAGATAAGCAATTTAAATAAACCTATAACCCGTAATAGAAGCAGTCATCAAAAGTCTCCCAACCAAAAAAAAATCCCAGAGCCAGATGGTTTCAGTACATAATTCTACCAGAAATTCAAAGAAGAGATGATACCAGTACTCCTCAAACTGTTCCATGCAATAGAAACAGAAGGATCATTGCCAAAGTCTTTTTATGAGGATACAATTACCTTGGTACCCAAGCCACACAAAGACACAACTAAGAAAGACAATTGCAGACCAGTATCGTGCATGAACATTGATACAAAAATACTCAATAAAAATACTGGCAAATTGAATCCAAGAACACATCAGAGAAATCATCCACAATGATCAAGTAGGCTTCATCCCAGTGATTCAGGTATAGTTCAACATATGAAAATCTATTAAAGAAATCCACCATATTAACAAACTGCAAAAGAAAAACAACATGATCATCTCATTAGATGCTGAAAAAATCATTTGACAAATTCCAATACCTCTTCATGATAAAGGTCCTGGAGAGATCATGGTTAACAAAAACATACCTGAACATAATAAAAGCAATATACAGTAAACCAACAGCCAACATCAAACTAAATAGAGAGAAACTCAACTCAATTCCTCTAAAATCAGGAACAAGACAAGGCTATCCACTCTCTCCATATCTCTTCAATATTGTACTTGAAGTTCTAGATAGAGCAATAAGACAACAAAAGGAGATCAAGGGGAAAAGAAGTCAAACTTTCACTATTTGCAGATGATACGATAGTTTACATAAGTAACCAAAAAAACTCAACCAAGGAACTCCTACAGCTGATGAACACCTTCAGCAAAGTGGCAGGATACAAGATTAACTCAAAAAATAAGTAGCCCTACTATATACAGAAAATAAATGGGCTAAAAAGCAAATCAGAGAAACATCACCCTTTACAATAGCCACACACAGAAAAACATTAAATATCTTGGGGGTAATGCTAACCAAACAAGTGAAAAGCCTGTATAGCAAGAACTTTGAGGCTTTAAAGAAAGAAAGTAGATACCAGAAAGTGGAAAGATCTTCCATGCTCTTGAATGGGTAGGATCAACATAGTAAAAATGGCAATCTTGCCAAAAGCAATCTACAGATTCAATGCAAACCCCATCAAAATCCCAACACAATTCTTCACAGACCTTAAAAGAACAAATAAACTTTATATGGAAAAACAAAAGACGCAGGATAGCCAAGACAACCCTGTACAGTAAAGAAGTGTCTGGAGCCATCACCATCCCTGACTTCACACTCTATTACAGAGTTATAGTCTTGAAAACAGCTTGGTATTGGCACATAAGTAGACAGGTAGACCAATGGAATTGAATTGAAAACCCTGATATTAACCCACACACCTATGAACAACTGATTTTTGACAAAGAAACTAAAGTTATACAATGGAAAAAAAGAAAGCATCTGCAACAAATGGTGCTGGCATAACTGGATACAGACATGTAGAAGACTGCAGATAGATCCATGTCTATCACCATGAACGAGAATCAAGTCCAAATGGATCAAAGACCTCAACATAAATCCAGCCACACTGAACCTCTTAGAAGATAAAGTGGGAGGTACCCTCGAACGAATGAGTTGGTAACACCAGTAGCACAGACACTGAGGTCAACAATTAATACATGGGACCTCCTGAAACTGAGAAGCTTTTTTAAGGCAAAGGACATAGTCAGCAAGACAAAGTGAGAGCCCACAGAATGGGAAAAGATTTTCACCAACCCCACATTTAACAGAGGGCTAATTTCCAAAATTTACAAGAAACTAGTCACCAGAACACCAAATAATTCAATTAAAAAACTAAATAGAGAATTCTCCATGGAGGAATCTAAAATGACTCAAAGACACTTAAGAAAGTACTCAACATCCTTAGCCATCAGGGAAATGCAAATCAAAATAACTCTGAGATGCCATCTCACTCCTGTCAGAATGGCTAAAATCAAAAACAGCAACAATAGTTTATGCTGGAGAGGATGTGGAGAAAGGGGAACACTCTGCCACTGCTGGTGGGAGTGCAAACTTGTACTTGGTTATTAAAGAAGTTCGTGCCACTAGGCTGGGGTATAGCTCAAATGGTACAAGCACAGAGTCACAATGCCTGAGGCTGTGGGTTCAAACCTCAGCAATCGGGAGAGGGCATAAAGGAAAAACCAGGACTTCGCACTAGGCAGTAAGAAAGTCGATCTGAGCACAGGACCGGAGGGCGCCACCCGAAGCTGCCCAACAATGTAAACTCATTTGAAAACCGTTCGTTTCCTTAGCCAAAAGAGCTTTCAGGGCGACATGCTTGACTCAGGCTGGGGAAGGAGGTATTTTCCCATGTTCAGCCGTAAAGGAACACAGAGGCCACAGCAGGGATGGTCCAGGTGGCCCAGGCCACATGGCAAGCAGCAGCAGAACTTGACAGTAGTGGCACGGAGCTGGTCTCGCAGGCGCGGAAAGATACCAGAGTGAGGGTGTGGTGGGACTTGCACGGGATAGAGCTACGCCAGGCTTGGTGCTCAACCCTCGCGGATTTCAGGGTTGCTTTGGTAGGATCTTGCTGGGCTAAGCATCCGCTGCTCTGCTTTGGAAACGGCTGCGCTTCTCTCTGCCTTTGTGCTTGTTTTAGATTTTACAGGAGGCTCCCAGTTAGGAGTGACCCAGTCTCAGAAGAAACGAAACCTCAAGTAGTTATCAACTTTAAAGACTTGGGAAACTCTGGGCAGACTGGATGCATTTTGAGATGAAGAGGTATAAAGGTACCTGACAGGCAAGCATGGGTGACGCCATCCTCATGAGCTTGGAGCCCAGACTGAATAAAAAAAGGGGCGTGGGGCGGAGGAGGATGAGGAAGCCGGATGACCAGCCAGCACTCACCTCTCTCTGCTTCCTGACTGTGGATGCCATCTGACTACCCTCCACATGCCCTCACCATCTACCCTTCCCCCATCATGACGATTGGGTCCCTTCAGGCAGTAGGCCAAAATAACCCTCTCTCACAGGGGGAGACTCCTGCACTGGCCCCCAGATAAAAACCTGAGCCTAAAACCAGTATGCTTCATTACTTAAATTTCACCTCACACTCTGTTTGTCTACACTAAAGTTCCTATTCCATGCCTGTGACTCAACCGATAGAACCCTCGTATCACACTGACATTTGTGTGTACGTGCCCCCTGGTAACTTGTGAGCTCTTCAGAGTCAAATGCCACATCTTACTCACATCTGTGTCCTTACCAGTGAAGCTTATCGGCAGTTTAATAAACACAGACCGTGAAGTCTCTTCAAAATAGTTGTCCTAACCTACGTTTGCTGCTTTTTTTTTCTTTTTCTAAAACAATCTTTCCAGGTAGATTGTTTTCTTTTTTTGTTGTTGTTGTTGTTTGTTTGTTTTACAAGACAAGGTTTCTCTGTATTGTTTTTGAGGCTGTCGGTCCAGCCTGGCCTCGAACTCACAGAGATCCGCCTGCCTCTGCCTCCTGAGTGCTGGGATTAAAGTCGTGCGCCACCACCGCCCGGCTTTCCAGGTAGATTGTTATCTTTAATGTTTTTTATTGTTTTTAACAACTCAGGGTATGTTTGCCAAATATTGGCACAGTTCTCTGTCCCTTGTGATTAAAAATATGGAAGGAAGAGAGGATGACTTGACAACGAGAAAATACTTCTAAATTAGTATAGAAATAGCTCTTTGGCCAGTCGTTGGTGGCGCACACGCATTTAATCCCAGCACTCGGGATGCAGAGACAGGGGGATCTCTGAGTTCAAGGCCAGGCTGGTCTATGGATCAAGTTCCAGGACAGCCTCCAAAACAACACAGAGAAACCCTGTCTTGAAAAACCAAAGGAAAAAAAAAAAAAGAAAGAAAAGAAAGAAACACCTTTTTGGCCTCACTTATTTAAATGGCCTCCTAACCAATCGGCACCGGCGCCCCGACAAACCACACTTACCTTCCACACATCGACAGCCCTCCTGAAGCACGCGTGCATACATGTCCACTTTGGACTGAGAGAGGAGCTGGTCCCCCGTCAGGTACGTGTTGTGCGAGGACGCAATGTAGTAGTTGCAGAGCGGCTGGTCCATGTCTTGGTACACTTCGTGGTGCAGAGGGTTAAACACGTCACAAGCAGGACTACGCATGAAATTCGTGAAGCCTTCAGAAGAAGGAGGGAAGCGTCACAGCCTTTCAAGGCACAGCTACTTAACTGATGTTAACAGGGGCAAAAAAAAAAACGTGGCCCAAGAACGGCTAGAGGTATCAGGACAATGCTTGGGGGGTCAACTGGGGCAGTGAGGGGTTCGCTTGATGCTAAATAGGATATCAAAAACTAGGACTTGGGGAGCAGCCACCTAAACGTATCCCATAGAAAAATTGACTGATGTCTTTTCAGAAAGTCATGACAAAGGCATTTATTAACTACTAATCTCAAGCTGTGTTTGTGTAGGGTGACCTCAGGAGTGACCCGTGTTATATTATAATTACATATTTATACTGCAATCAAACAGTGGCTGATAAGTTGTTACAATGTCCTGAAAAACAACACAAGGTAAAGTAGAAGGCTAAACTCTTAAGTGTTGCCTTCATTCAGAGGGTAACTGATTATGAGATTGGTTTGGGGGGTATGCTGCCAATGGCTTTCACATAAATAACTTACAAACAGTGCTTAAAAGTTTGTGTAGAGAAATCTACCAGTTTTTCTGTAAGATTTAAAAACATAATAAACACTGAGTAGTAGAGGCAGCCATCATCATGGATTCATGAATTAAGGTATGAGTGACCAGAAGTAGGCACCTTCATGGGAAGTAGTTTCGAGTCTTTGAGACTTGTTTGGTAAAATTCAGTCTGTAAATGTCTTCTGAGCCTTCAGGGTTGCTTCGTGACAAGCTTTATGTGTATAACCAGGCACCATGTTTAACCGCATCTTTCGGGAAGCCTCAAGAAAAGTATTTATATCTTGGTGCAGACTTAAGAGGTCCAAGTCATTTTGTCTTCCGTTTTAAAACAGTTTTAATGATAGAAAATTTTCATTGTCCCCCTTCATTTAAAACCTCTTTCACACAGGAAATACGTATGTGATGTTAAAAACTCTTCAGCAAGCCATGCATGGTGTTATGAGCTTGACTGCTTGAGACCAGAAGTTCAGAGTCAACCTGAGTAATATAGTGACAATCAGTCTATTATGCATGTGCGTGTATGCACACACACACAATCTGTCTACATGGATACTGGGAGCAGAATGTTGGGATTCCCAATAGTCTCCAATTAAAATTATCTGTTCTTCTTGGGAAATCCCACAGACTATCACTTATTTCTCTGCATATTTTAAAGGGATATATCATATACTCACAGAAGCTATATTTATACCGTATTATTTATGTATAAATCCTAGGAGCTAGATTCTGAGTGCGTAATTGTTAGTAAATTATTTCATTTCTCTTGGTCTTACTTCCCCTAGCTATAAAATGAGGTGGTAGCATTGTCAAGACTTCCATTTCTACAGTTTCTGAAATGCTACCAATTGGGGAAAAAAACAAAGGAATTTTTAACATTTTATTTAAAAATGTTTATTTTTTCAAGTCACAACTTTTGTAGATTATTTATTTGGGGGCCAAATTTCGCTTCCTGCAATCATCAGAACAAGACTGTTGCTAAAAGAAAAAATTATCCATTTGAGCAACGTCCAAATATTTCTTGGCATTCATCATCCACAATGGTAGCTTAAGGAGTACTGCAAAAATAAGAGAAAAACAAAACCGGAAAATTGGGTATGTGGAAAAATGTATTCTTTGGGGCTTTATCTGAATTACCTGAAATTGCATGAATGTTTCCTGATTTTGCTTCCTAAAAATTATAATAAAATTTAGTGTAGTAGGGAGACACAGAGAAACACAGATTGAGACGACTGGTTACCTTCAATACCGAGGACATTTTTCACTTTATTTTCTTCAGAAACTTCGAACTTCTTTATGATGTCAAGACAGTAGTCGATGGTCACATTACTCATCTAAAGAAAGCGGGACAGGAGGAAAGCAAAGCAACGTCATGATCTGCGTTCCCCTACACGGCAGCAGCGTGTACTGACCAGCAAGTAACCCACGCCACACACTCCAGGGGCTGCAGGGGGCGCTGCTTGAAGCTCCCAGACACATTTCTTTCTTTTATCTCGGGAGGGTGATAACGATCCTAACAGGCCTAGGCATCCTTCAGCTTTAGTCAAACGAACGCAGCCCTCCACGGCTCTAGAGACAAGTACTCTCCACGAAGGAATAACAGAAAATTAATGCGAAACCATTGCCCCAAACCCACTCACTTATATGGTAGCAATCTGCAAAATAAATGACTTTTACGTAAAAACTAAAGTGTGATAGCCACAGACACGTGTAGGGAGGAGACTGTGGTCTATGAAAAACCGCAACGTCTCTACGCGAATTCGGCTGCAGGGGCGTCTTTAAAGAGTCCTCCACAGAGCAGTCAGCTGTGGTGATTCAGGAACACAGAAGTGAGCCCCAGGCAACTGAAGGCGGAGCAGAGGCAACTGAAGGCAGAGGAGAAAGTTTAACAAAGAAAGGGATCTGCAGCTACCACGGATCACCCAGCTCGCAGTAACAGGGTGATGACAAACGTCTCTTAACCTTTGACATGGCTACAGGGTGGTTGTGAGGGTCAGGGAATCGATACTTGGGGGAACGTTTTTAGCACCGAGAAGGCAGCACAGGTTCCCATTACACCGTCAGCCTCAAGGCTGCTGCACCTATAGTTACAGGATAAAAGAAAGGAAACTCTCTAGAGAGAATTTCTTCCAATGCCAGCAGAGAGCATGAGGGCAGGCCTGGGATTGTGCCCAAATGGTAGAACACTTGTGTAACATTTACAAACCCTTGGGTCTGACCCCCCTCAGAACGCAGAAAGAAAAAGTGTTATTTTTATTTAGGAAAAAGAAAAATCCACTTACTCAGGGATCTATCAGTGACATTTTCAAATAATGATAAAGGAAGCCAATCTTGTGAGCCAGTATAAAATAATGAATACTGACAATATATTTCTGTTATATCCCTCAAAGATCCTATTGTCTTTTAGGTTTGATGTGTTTCAGTAAAATCTAGTTTTGTTTTTGTTTTTAAATGATCTATTTATTCTTATTTTATGTGCATTGGTATTTTCCTTATTTATGTCTGCGTGAGGGTGTCAGAACTTGAAGTTACAGACAGTTGTGAGCTGCCACGTGGGTGCTGGGAATTCAACCCAGGTCCTCTGTAAGATCAGCCGGTGCTCTTAACCACTAAGCCATCCCCACATTCCCTTTATTTTGATTTTTACTAATTTTGTTTTTGAATATATTTTACTAAATGTTTAGTTAGTAGCATTTAAACTTTCTGCAGGAGAAAAGGCTGATTTGCTTGTTTGGCTGGCGATATTTTTGGTAGTTTAATACCTACACGGTGCTTTGGTTTCCACACTCATTGGATAATTGCAGTGCATCCTTTGAATAAAATCCATAATCTTGGCCACATCACAGCAAATATGGTAAGCAGAAGGGCAGTATCTCCAAGGGATGAACCCCGAGGACACGGACAGCTGTGAGCAGCTCAGGAACCAGTCTACTGCAGGCTAGACTTAGCACACATAATCTAAACAGTAATTTCTCACAATATTAAAAGAACCACACCACGGCCAGGCAGGGTGGTGCACGCCTTTAATTGTAGCACTTGGGAGGCAGAGGCAGGAGGATCTCTGTTTGAGGCAAGTGTGGTCTATAAAAGAGTTCCTGGACAGCGAGAGCTGTTCAGAGATACCCTGTCTCAAAAAACAAACAAACATAAACAAAGAAGAAGGAGGAGGAGATGGAGGAAAAGGAGGAGAAGAAGGAGGGAGGGAGGGAGAGAGAGAGAGAGAGAGAGAGAGAGAGAGAGAGAGAGAGAGAGAGAGAGAGAGAGAGAGAGAGAGAGAGAGAGAGAGAGAGAGAGAGAGAGAGAGAGAACAGCACTGGTAACTTCATATGCCACGGACAGACTGAGTTCACTTTGGAATTATTCATGTATGAGAGCATTTGTCCGCAGTGCATGAGCCATGAGCTACACTCAGATAAACCACCAGGAGCCAAGGAGATCTAAAGCAAAGTACAAACAACAAACCACCCATCATTCTAGGGTAGAGGAAATGGTAGATGAGCAGAGAATTCATTATCACCTCAAGACACAAAGCAGAATTAGATTCTTCAAAATCATCCTTGAAAATATGCTCACCAAGTTAATGAAAGTATTAGTAAAGGGCTTCTATCCATTACAGCGTGCCACAAGGACTGACTGTTTAAATTCTGCTAAGGAAGCTGAAGACTGAATCTGCTCCCTTCCTGCCCCACCGCCTTCCCGCGGAAGTAGCAACTCAACCGTATGACTGGTTTTCATTTATAAGCCTCTCTTTGTGATGACTTTTTACATTTGCACACTGATGTCACGCAAAATGGTTATTACAATCTATTTTATGTTTAAATGTGCACATTGTGCACAAGTGCCTGCTGTAGGAGGCTTGAGTGTGTGAATCAATGAATGCTGTTGACGAGGCTTGGATGTGTCAAGGGCTCCAAAGACCCTGGCCCGCGGGGAAACTGCAGTGCCTTCCTTGGGCTGGACTCAGAGAAACAGCAAAGCCTTCCTCTGGGATCTGGGTGCTGGTGCTGACAGTATGTGCAGATGTCCACGTTCTCTTCCCAGATATTTATAGCCTTAAGACTACAGAAACCGCTCCTACTGAGACGAGCTAAAACCGTCTCCTCGGACCAGCTGTACACCATGAACCCTTCCTTCTTGATTAGCTGTGTCACTAACTTTGCCTCCTTGATCGCCATCAGCAGCAAACCCCACCTCATTGTCCAAATGTATATAACAAACACACTGAGCTTCCAGGTGCTGAGACTCAATCAGAAAGTCAAGCCCACCGTCTCCAGCTGGTCATCTGTTTCTACGTCTGTCTCCCTTCTTTGTCCCCTGCTCCCAGCCAGGTCTGTCCCTGAAGCCATGCAAGGGCTTGGTGTGAGATCATCTGCAGTTGAAGTTACAGATAGTTACGAGCTCCTGAGGTGGGTGCTAGACACAGAACTCTGGTTGCCTGCAAAAGTTGTGTGTTTTGTTTATTCCGGAGCCATCGCTCCAACCCCTACAACTGACATCTAAGCTTAATGCTTTCCATCTTGGTTTGTAGGAAAGGAAACTGATGCAGAGAATAGTTAAGCAGTACCACCAAAGTCTCAAAACTGTAGGAAGCAGGGAACCAAGGTACAAATTTGGACCTTCTGGGTTTTAAGTCTAAACCTTTTCCTTCCAAATATACCTAATCTCTTGATGTTTTTCTTCATTTCTACTAATATATTTGAAAGATGTAGCTGAAATTTATGAATCTTTTGAAGGTGTTAGAATTTTCAAGTCAGTTATTGGAATTCGACTTCTTGCATTATTTAAAGCTAGACTCTATTCTGCTCTATTAACTGCTCTATTTTAAAGTCATTCAGAAGAGAAAAATCCCTCACATTATGGGTAAATGTATGCAATACAAATGAGTTGTAGAAACCAGTAAGGTGTCTGTAAAAATATCCCTGCTTATCTTCCCAGTGAGTGAAACTTCAAAACGGAGTCATTGGAGTGCATGACTACATTTCTTGTGGCCATGATTCCCTAGCACATCAAACACACACCTGAAACAAAATTTGCAAATTTTAATACTGCTGAACTTCAAAGCCGCTGTGTTTACGACTTAATACCATTCCCTTTTACCTACCCAGAATCATTCCTCCAAAGGCAAAAAAAAAAGAAAAAGCTAACACTTGCATCTGTTTTGGGATGGGTCACCACACCTCCTCGCTGTGTTTAGTTTTTTTTCCATTTTATACACTTACTTGCTGACTTACTATGTTAAACATTATATAAGCTACGTCCAACATAAGCTCTTTTGAGCCAACAAAGCCTGTCATTCCACAGTGCAGCCACATAATACTTACTAAATAATCCGGTGTCTAAATCATTCCAGCTACCCGGAAGCACTGAACACTGGAGAGTATGCCATGCAGGAAAACTGCAATCCCTTTATTAGCAGTATTTTGGGGGGCGTTCATTGACTGCTGCGATTCCTATTGACTGCGTTTTAGTAAGTCTACCGCAAGTGTTTCCCATGAGTCTAATGGCTCCTTGGTTTATTTTTCCCGTAACAGAAAGGCAAGAAATGACCTCTAAATTCCACCATCCCCTTTTTGAATTGATCGTCCTTCCTCTCCTTCTAAGCTTGTCTGATGCAGTGGCTTTGATGTGTTTCTGCCCTGATGTCAGTCACCCTGCCATTCCCGCAGCCGAGCTCTAAGGAAGTCCAATGTCTGCATTTTGCAGGTGGTGTTTTGCACACATTCAGTGATTTTTTTTTCCTTCCACACACGTCTCTCTCTCTCTCTCTCTCTTTTTTTTTTTTTTTTGGACAGTTCAGTGCTGCAGACTGCTCCAGGTTGGAATCGTGGCTCCTATGTTTCTTGGCTTCCAGGGGGCTTTGGGAAAGTCCTGGTGCCGTGTTGGCGCCGGTCCTGTTTACCCATGCGTCCTCCACTTAATTCACCTAGCGTTGGTCTTTTTGTTTGTTTGTTTGTTTGTTTCTCACTTTAGTTCTGCAATGATTTGTTTTGTTTTTGTTTTTTTCCGAGGCAGGGTTTCTCTGTATTGTTTCGGAGGCTGTCCTGGAACTCGCTCTGCCGACGCAATGATGGATTTGATTGGCAGCTCAGTGGCTCACCTTCCCGCAGTGTTCATTGCCCTCTGCTCCAAGGCTTCACTAGAGACTCCTCTCGCTTTGTGCGCTCGTCACGTTTTATTGCATGGCGATTCGCTCCCCCGCCCATATCAGTTCGGTCTGTCCCATTCATTCCCTGCACTGTATAAACCTTCCTTCCTCCCTACTCTCAAACTTTTAAGTTTCTTGGAACTCCTTCCCCGCCCCGCCCCCGAATCTTTTCTCTTAGTGTCTCGTTCT